AACTAGCAAACATACACTTGTTTTGCTAAAGACAAACACTTGTTTTTGTTTCACTTTTTTTAGTCTCTCCAAAACCTCTCAAATCATCTATGTCTTTCCCACTCCTCTAATTCAACTCCTATTTATACTCAAAAGCTCTCCTCCCATCTACCCTAAGATCGAATTCACTTAAATCTTAGCATTCCCCACAAAAAACAATGATGAGGCTCTTACTAGTTTTGACTTTGTATCAACAAAGCGAAAACCCGTAATGTAACCGCAATTTGTGTGCTATGTTTGTGTGCACAGGAGTTACAAGTGTAGAGGTGTGTCTTGGTTGGTGCAAATGCCGACCAAGAGTGATTTTGTTCCTCTGCACTATTGTCTTCATTGATCAAAATCAACGATGCTAGGATGGTGAAGTACATGAGCATGCATGCTAGGATGTTGTTGAGAAGACTCGAACGATAGGTCGTTCGAATTGATTCCGAATTGGTCATGTCGTTTGTTTTCTTTGTTACTTTAGATCCCGGTTAATTTAGATCCCTATAGGTTCTAATTTTCTACAATTGTATCTTTTAGGCGTATTATTATTGTTCCCGATTCTTTTAATTTTTTCAATTGGGTCATTATGTCTTTCAATTTGAGTTCTAGGATGTTGAATTGTTTCAATTATGTCCCTACTTGTTTTCAATGCACTTCATTTCCATTCAATTACACACTTGGAAATAAAATTGAAATAAAACTAACTAAAGGATAAAATAAAAATAAAAATAGGATAAAAATAAAATAAGTTAAATAATGTAAATAAAATTTTGATTTTCCTTTTTCTTTTTTCCTTTTCCTTATGAAATAAAATGTAAATTATAAAATTAAACAAACAACCTAAAATTAAACATGAAAATAAGATAATAAGGAAGAAAATACTAAAAATTAAATACAATCGAAATTTTATAGTATGACGGTTACCTCCCGTTTGTAAGGCTTATGGTGCAAATGCCAAATGAAGTGTGAACTCCGGATTATGTTTGTATAATTAGCTTGTAAAGAAGATGTAAATCGAGTTGCAAGAATAAGTAATCCGATTATCTTGGGTGATCCTAATTGAGAAAGTAAATGCGATAGCATTGTCGTGGAGGACGACCGGTCCCGAAAAATAAATACGATGACCTTATTGTGAAGACCGGCTCGTATCAAAAAGTAAAATACGAGTGAAAGACAACCTGTCTTGAAAAGTAAAATATAATAACTTTGTTTTGAAGGGTAGCCTCTCTTAAAAATAAAATGTGATGATTTATTATTAGATGATCAACTTGGATGATAGTGTATTGTTAGACGACCTTGCTCGAATGATGATTTTTTGTTAGGTAATCCTACCTGAATGATAGTCTATTACGAGGTAATCCCGTTTGAAATGATGACCTATTGAAAACCTATAAGCTTTTGAATTATACAATGAATGTAGTCTTCCTTTATTACATAATTACTAAATAAATTTGGAGTTAATAGAAATCGAATCTTACTTCAATTAAAAAAAAAGTTAATTAGATAGATAATTGCTAAATTAAATTTATTTGTGGTTTTTGACTTTTTTTTGAATTAATTAAAAAAAAAACACGCCCACTTGTTTTAATAAAGACGAAACGACAAAAAAGTACAAGAGTGACAGGGGATGTTAGTGGAGGCATGAGGCAAAGTTTTCGGTTAAATTTTAAATGGGTCGCGCGAACATGTCCTTGTAGCCTTGTGTCGCGCTATTACAAGCACGTGTGAACCAAAAATAACTTCTCAAATATTTGCTATATGCTGGGTTTGATTTGGCATAGTCTCTTCTCTATTCTATTCGACGTTGATAGCTCAGTTTTGTTTTTTGTAACAAGAAGTGGCCATCGTCTACCCTTACCTACCCATCACCTACATGGCTACACTAAACTACACAGCCATGATGTGAAATTATTTCTTTAATTCTTTCTTTCTTTATTTTGCTTAATGGGAAATGTTTTAATATATATTTTTAAGGAATAAGAAAGGGTTTTCTGTTCCGTCCTCTGCGATCTACCATACATACGCATGTTATAAAATTGCTTTGAAGTTTTGGGGAAGCAAAAAGTTGTTCTTTTCCCTCGACCTAGATCGAGTTTTTGTTTGTTTTGCAAGTTTTAGTGACGCAAAATAGATAATGCTTGAAGATAGATCAAACTGCCTAGACTTAGAGCCTGCTTTTCGCAAATTTAAAAGTACCCAATCGTTAAAGATACACGGCACATGCACCACATAATAATTGATTTAAATTATCATTGGCCAGTTTTTGGAAGCTGGTCTTCGATGCATTAACTGCTTTAGATTATTTATTTTTATAAATGCATTATTCTTATTATTGAAATAAATATAGTAATAATTGTTCCAATTGCACCCAACAAGATAATGTACGAATTCTTTTTCTTTCATTTTTATGAGTCAGTAGTCAAGGTTTGTGGAGTCTTTTTCAACGAACAACAACACGAAACTGATTATATGTACATACTTATCAGAAATTTATACATCCGAAAGGTGGGATGCAAGTTCCTCGTCATTAGAAAAAATATAATGACCATACAAACATATAGTATTTTTTTTTTACAACTTATAATATTAACAAAAAAAAACTAAAATAAAATTATCGGTTACTATTAATTACATTATTTGAAACATTGTTCATCAACATTTGTACTATTCACCAAAACTCGGATATATTATTCATTTCATTATATAGTGATATTTTTTAAATTTTCAAACAACTTAAAAATATTCATTATGAAAATTTTCGTGACATTACATGTTAGTCTTTTTTTTAAACATTGTTTTTTTAGTTCATAAATATTTTTTTTTCATTTTAATGCTTTTTTTGTTTCGTTTTGCTCACTTTGATTTTTTTTCTCAATTTTGATTTACATAATATAACATAAAATATCAAATTAAAATAACTTTATATGTTCTATCGGATTTGTAGTATAACACAAATAAAAAAACTAGAATATACTGTATATTTTTAATAGCCCTAACATATATTATCTTCCTGTGCACTATGAGGAAGACGGAGCAAAATAATTAGTATATGTGCCGTGCACGAGACATTTGGCAAATTTGTTTATGCCGCCCAAAAAAGGTATTGTCAGATACTAAAGTCCACAACATATTGATGCTAGATTATTGGGACTGACTTCAAATTCAATGCCTTCTGTTCCTGATGGAATTTACGTAACTGATGGAATTTACGTAAATCAATCAATGCCGTTGTTTTTCTTGTCCACACAAATTAACTCTCCTTTTCCAGTCATCAAACATGGCCAAGACCTCTGCTACCAACAAAATGACGAAAATGCTTATTGAATAGCAGAAAGACGCTATATGAACATGAACGCCTTTTCTTCAACTTTGGAGGACGTAGATGCCAAAAGGATGCCGTTGTTTAATTTTTGATATGATCAATATTACATACAAATTTGAATCGGAATAAGAGTATAATGTCGTGAATCCAGTGTTATTACTTGACATTATTTATTCAAACTGATAGGATATTTGGTAAATATTTTTTATGATCTCCTGGTGCCTTTTTAAATCATTGATAATATAAATATTATTAAAGGACCATCTTATCTAAAAGTTTAAGTTGATTGGTGAGATCTTAGAATATAATTTATATTGATCTCTAACAAATATATCTCTATATCTAAATTTGATAAAATTTATTTAAAGAATAAACTCGTCAAGTTATTTTAAATTTTTACCGTAATGGATATATGTATATGTATAATGTATCATGTATCTAACTCAATTTTTTTTAACGAAATTTAACTGATAGTATTGAACTGGAACATAAAAAAATATTGATATTGATATATTTCATCCCAATCCAAAATCTAGAATTATTCTTGAAATATTGAAAATATGATATAAATCCTCACAGTTTACTGATTCAAGTTTCCTTATTAAAAAAAAAAAAATTGTTTTATACACAACTATAATCTCTAATAATTAGAAAAAAAATAATTTTCTATGGACTAAAAAAGAATTTACATCATTCTAATCAACAAAACTCACTCAAACTTTTTACAATTTTATTTTTCTTTTGCTGTCATGTGAAGTTTTTGTGCATAAGAAATAAATTCATTTAATTACTTTAATTTAAGACAAATAATTCGTATTCGGATTAAAAAATTTACGAAAATTTTACTTCTTAAAATTTGCAAAAAATTATAGCAAACAAAGAAGATATTCCAATAACAATAAGACCATCATTTAGAATAATTCTTTTGAAATTTACAATTTGGATCTTTTTCCTTCTATATTCTGACTGTGCTTGTTTAAGATGTGAAACCATTACAGTAAGTAAACTTTTTTGTTTTTTTTTACTTGCCACTTAAATGGAACATGGAGTATATAACCAGATTAATTCGCAATTTGGATAAACGTTTTTTATTTTTTATAAAAAAATATTATTTCCTAAAGAAAAGAAAAAAAAAAAAGAAGAAGAAGACGAAGACTAAATGTGCGGTAATAAAGTTAATTTCGACAAGTTCAACCTTCAAAAAAAAACAATTCAATACTCTCTTTTAATTTATTTATCGTCCATCGAAACTGGAGAGAGAGAGAGACAGCCTCTGAGAGAGAGAGAGAGAGAGGGAGAGCTATTTTGGTCGCGCTGCGACGGCGGATTCTCTTATCTGAGAGGGAAGGCGCGATATATGCTCCACTGACTAAGAGAAGAGATCTCCACGCAAAGCAAACTCCTTTCTCTCTGTTTCTTTGAACTTTTTTTTAGATCTGCAATTAATCCAACCTATAGACATTGCTTCGCTACAAAAAAAAAAAAAAACTGTTCTAATTTTGTGATAATTATAATCACCACAATTAGACCACCTACTATAAATTGTTATTTGTATTAATAGGAGGAATTATTTATCTATTTAATTAGAACAAAAGGAAGTAGAATTTTATTTTTATTTGTTCTGCGATTTTGACTGGAGCATGTTTTGATGATAATGGGGTCTGGCAACGGAGCAACGGCTTCTTCTTCGCAAACCGTGGACATGTCTGTAGCAGGCAAGCGTCTTCTTTACGCTTTCCGCTCTTAGTTTCATTATTTCGATTTCAATTTCTGTCTTTCTCTTAAAAAAAATCAATTACGAATTGGACTCCTATGAGTTTTAGGTCGATTTGTTCCTTTTGGAATTTCTATGTAAGCAGATCCGTAATCTAACTGTAAAAGAAAAAATCCAGCTTTTGAATACTTTGTAACTTAATTTTTTGAGATTTCCATGTGGTAAAGTTTCCTTTTTGTTGGTCGAATAAGATGAAAATTATTATTAATACTTAGTTCGAGTCAATGCTTTCGAGTTCAGCCTGTAGTTAATTTATTTATAGTAGAAAACTTGTAATATAGGGAGCTTGAATTGCTATTTTATTGGTTTACTTCTGGTTGGAAAAAAAAAAAAAGATGAAAAACAGGAACACCATAAAATATTAAGTTTTGAAGGAAATGGATTCTTGTACCTACCAAATTCTATGGCCTGAGAGAATTGCTGTATTTTGCAGGTCTTCGCAAAAGGCATCAGCAGGAACTAGATAATCTGACACTGATTGCACAACCCTTCAAAACATTGAAGTTTTTTGTTTTAGCTATGGTTCAATATTGCAAGACATCAGTATTCTACCTTTTGGCTAAAGGTGGTTGGCTAATGCTATTAAGCGCAGTGGTGGCAGCTGTTGGAATTGTGCTTGTGACCATTGATGGCCCTCATGAAAAGGTATTACAGCATGTAGAACATTGTAGGTACTTTTAGTTCACTTACATATATGTTCTTGTGGATGAAATGATACGTATTTCTGTCACCATGAGTAAAAGGTTATGTTTTGTTTGTTTTTGGATTGCTACTGCCATGGTACTATCGCGTCCCCTATGGTTAAACCTTTTCTCATGATGTGAATATATTAGGATCTAGATGTGCTGCTTGTTCCTTTTAGTTTGAGTATTCATTTTGTTCCATCATTCAACACTCTATTTACAAATTCACAGCGTGGGATATTGATTACTTGTTGTGGCATGTTTCTGCAGCATGTTGAGGAACTTTCTCATTATTTGCGATTTGGATTGTGGTGGATTGCCCTTGGTGTTGCATCATCAATCGGTCTTGGTGAGCAAAATTTACTTTGATGAATATGGAAAACTTTGGTGCTGGGAACAATGAAGAGTGTCAGCAGCTATACGAGTGCTTTGAATTTAGAGGCAACTTTTGGTGCATATCATATCAATAATGTTTTTGGCTCATAAATTAATTTAGTACGAGTTTTTTCTAAATCTTATTTCATGGTTTTGTAATCTGAGGTTTTTTAAATCACGAAACTCAGCATGGTGTTGGACAAGGGACCCTTTATCATCATCATCATCATCATCCTCTTTATCCTTACCTGATAAGCTCTAGTTGCATGATGGTTTCAGCTGTGTCCTGTGCTTGTAAAGTGTGTCAATTTACTTCTCACATGATTTTTGCTCTATTGTTGTGGTTTAATTCATTTAAATATTTGGAGGTTGAAAGGAAAACAACTGGTTAAAATCACCATCTCTAATGTATAGCCTTTTCTGTTGCTGAGTCTACATTTTTATTAAGAATTTAGATCTGCAATTTACTGAACTTGATCTCTATCTTTTTTCTTTTTTCTTTTTTTAATTTATTTCAGGATCTGGTTTGCATACTTTTGTTCTTTATTTGGGTCCTCACATTGCCTTGTTCACGATTAAGGCAATGCAATGCGGCCGAGTTGATTTAAAAAGTGCTCCATATGATACAATACAGCTGAAAAGAGGTCCTTCATGGCTTGACAAAGATTGCCAGGAGTTTGGGGACCCAGTGTTTCAATTCTCAGATGGACTGCGGGTTCCACTCAGCAGCATATTGTTCCAGGTCCAGATAGAGGCTATTTTGTGGGGCGTTGGGACTGCACTTGGGGAGCTTCCTCCTTATTTTATCTCAAGGGCAGGTATGCGCCAAGTTTTGCCGAGAATGAAATGCTTATCTTATGATCTTGTGACAATCTATATGCACTGAGGTTGATATTTTACAATCGGCCTGAATGTCTGAATTAATATGATAGTGTTGGATATCGGACTGGATTTACTTCACAGATTATACAGAGGACTATTTTGGTTTATCCACTTTTGAGATTTTGTGCATGCTATGATTTTGAAACCCCATTTATTATCAAATATCATTTTATTATTATTATTATTATCAACAACAGCAAGGCCTCAATCCCAAACTAGTATAATTAAGTCAGCTATATGGATCCTCAATCTTTAACCAAATCCACCTTAATATCAAGATGTTTTATTATCAAAAGAAAAAACAAAACATATCATAGGTTATTATCCTCAAGTGGGCTGAGTATGAAGTTAATGTCCCTTTTTCCCAAAAGAGTAAAGATGAAGTTAGATAGGGGTAGGATATATGGAATATTGCCCCATGATTCATGTGAAACTGGCCTTGGAATGGATGTCCTTGGAATAGTTGATGTTCTTTTTCTTTAATTAGTGTTGCAGCAACTTTAACTCCAATGCAAGATGTTGACAGAAAAGAATAATAATAATAATAATAAATTAAAGGCATGATGTAATGTTAATGCATCGTTTACCTGTGATATGGGCCAGGAAACACTTAAAATTCAGTTGTGCTCCTGTGCCTCGTGGCATGCATGCCCACATTGATGCATACTTGAAGCCATGTATCAGTGGTTATGTCTGATTTCATCTAATCAAGAGAAGTAATTGTATTGGTTTCCTATCATATTGTATTTCATGGGTCAGTTTTCAGCTAGTTGGAATGATATTTAATACCAACTATGAGTTTTTATTTGCCTAAATAGGTGCATATCTGTTTCTGTTTTTTTTTTTTTTTTTTTTTTTTTTTTTAAGGATGAAATTTCTTCTATCCATTATCATTGGTGAGATTATGGTAGTTGCAGAACATTGGTTCTGATTTAACACATTAACATCTCAGCATAATTGTTATTGCGATATTGATTACATCGCTTTATGCAGCATGTATGTCAGGTAGCAAATTGGAGGCCATGGAAGAATTTGATGCTTCTGCGGATGAAAATAGTGGAATAATAGCTACTTACCTCAGAAGAATCAAACGTTGGCTTCTGACCCACTCTCAACATTTGAACTTCTTCACAATTTTAGTGCTTGCTTCGGTTAGTGCAATGCCCATCTATATTTTATACCACAAGTTTTTGATAAAATATCTCTGATCTTTCCATGCAAGACACTTTTTTTTTTGCCTCTCAATACTCATGCCTCCATTAAAATCCTTACTAACTCTTTCTGGTTCTAATATTCTGACACGCAAGTTTAATTGCCCTTTTTTAAACTATTTAATGCTTGTAATTTGTCCTCATAGGTGCAATGTTTCCTTAATAATTTGAGATTGTTTTAGTGTGCATGTGGACAAATAACAGGTCCGGGAAAAAAAGGGGCTTGGCTCTTACATTTTTTTTAAACTTTATTTTTTTAGAATTTTTTTGCTCTACTCTACTATTTTCTTTGTATTTATGAGGTGTGCTTTATTGTGGTACGTTGTGAAACATAAGAACAAAGTAATTCTATTCTTCTATGTCATCAGATAATGACCTTGGTGCTGACAAGTAGATCTTGATTCGACCTGCTTGTGCCATATTCATTCCTCATTAATATGCAATTTGTTGATGATTTATACTATTTTTCAGGTGCCAAATCCTCTATTTGACCTTGCTGGCATTATGTGTGGACAATTCGGGGTTCCATTTTGGAAGTTCTTTCTAGCAACATTGATTGGAAAAGCAATTGTTAAAACTCACATACAGGTTTGTGATATTACTAAGTTCTCTTGTTTATATCGGACAATTTAAGAACTTTCCACTTATTACCAAGTCTTAGGTGCTTTTGTGTTTGAAGCTTCAGTTCTCTGTTTGGTGTTTTGACATCCGAGTTATCTTAGTTTGTTATAATAAAATTTTGCATTGGTAATATTGTTTAGTGCTTTAAACGATGTTGGAGGAATGGAAATCTAGAGTTTAAATTAATGTTGATTTGATAAAAAGCGGTGTTGGATGCTGCCTTTTACTTGAATTGCTTCTGATTGGTCTCTTGGTTGATTGCGTTTTTGGCAGACGGTTTTCATTATTTCTGTTTGCAACAATCAACTTCTTAACTGGATAGAGAATGAGTTGATCTGGGTACTCAGCCTTATACCTACTTTCGCTTCTGCATTGCCTGACCTCACAGCAAAACTCCATGCAATGAAAGAAAAATATATGGCACTTGCATCTCCTGTGTCCTCAGATATGAAGGTATCCTGATTGACCACATAAGCTATATCTAGTAGGTTCTGGTATGGGTTGACTGTAGAGTGCAATTTTTTTTGCATTTAAATGCTTTTAATTTCTCAGCAATATTGTTTGGTTCTCATTTACATGCCCTTTTTGTTAATCCCTCCCCAGGTCAAAAAATGGGATTTCTCATTTGCTGGATTGTGGAACACTGTTGTATGGCTCATGCTCTTAAACTTCTTTTTAAGATTGTGAATACAACTGCTCAGAGGTATCGGAAAAAACAGCAGGAAATGGAGCTAGCTGCATTGACAAATTGTTCATCAGCGTCGACACATTCAGATTAGGAGTCTGACCAAAAGAACTATGACACATGCATTTCTGTTTTCCTTCCCTTTTGTTTTCTGTTACAATTAGCTTAGGGAAGTTAAAGTGACAGCTCTTTCATAAGTCACCCGAAGATCTGTTCAAGTTACTGGTAGAAGATTGTATAGAAATAGGAACATGATGTCCAGTGTCTTTGGGAGAGGCATTATTTTGGGTAGTTCTTCACCCATTGGTAATAACTGTTGAAATTGGTAATGGAAGCATATTATTATTCTTTGGAAATGCAAGACAATTATCTGGTGATTGAACTTCCAGTATTGTGCTCTTAAACTTCATGGATTCTAGTATGACGCTGTTATTGACATATTACAGGTTTTGGGTTTGTCAATGGTTCTACTTCAGAACTTTAGCCTCCCTGTCATACTGTCTTCTTTTACATTTGTCTGTCATGGATTCTCCATAGGCATATTTTGCATGCTTTATTTTGCTAATTTTTTAAGTACATAGTTAGGAGTGTGTGCAAACTAGACTCAGTACCACCTGGTGGTATTACTTTTTTCAAATAAAATCTCTTGAATTAAGGTTTCACGTTGAGAATAATACCAGCCTCCTCTGCTTTGAAGAATCTATTCTCTGTTTGAAAGGAAGAATTTTAAGAAAAACCAGTATAACAAAAAAATGTGATTCCAGCAAGAGTTGTTTTTTTAAAAGGTGCGCCATTCGGTTGGATCATGATTTGATTCTGAGCCTTGTTTTTGAACTAAATTGCCTCTCAACTGAAAAATCCCTGACTTCGTACGTCAAGCTAAACTAATCGACGATTTGGGTCTAGATTAAAAGCTGGATAAAGTTTTCATTCATCCGATCCTTAATGGGTTCCATCTAACACTAATTGACAAACTAACTAATTGATATCATCAAGAGATGCTCTTTAGTTTCTTTCCTCTTTCCTTGTTAGTGCATCATTGTTAAAGCAATTGAGAAACCTAGAAGCCAACTTCTTAGATGCATTTTATCTACCAACTAAACTAAAATCAAACCAGCTTGCCCAAACTATTCCAACTGAACTGGATTAAAGACAACATCTAGCCTTCCAAAATAAGTTAAATAACCGAAAATTGAGACAAAAATGTGGTTGTAAATGAAATATTATTTTTAGCACAAAGGCAACAACAACAAATCTGCAATTGCAACAACAAAATTTATAATTGTAAACCAACAAAGTAGAAAGAATTGCTTTTTGTCCAAGATAAATAACCCAACTGTTCCTATTTGTCCAACATGAGCAACCCTGCCATCTCTTTCAGGCCCAACTCCTCTGTCGTAGTTACAAAACAAATAGAAATAACCCCGCAAACTCTTCGATCCATTTTGTTTGGAAATATGGAAGAAAAAAAAAAAGATCAGTTTTTAACAATCAAAATGGCTAATGTTTTGGAGATTGAAAATGATATTAGGTTTTGCATAATCTAGAACATTAAGAAATGGAGAGATCTAACCCTATCCCCACTGAAGAAAATGGGCCAGATCTGTAGGGACAACAGAATGAGAGAGAGACAAAAAAAAAAAAAAAAGATGAGAGAGGGGAAAAAAAAAAAAATTCTCTTGGGAAAGCCAGAGATGAAGAGCAAAGGGAGTCAAGGTTTTCGTCCATCCGCACTTCCCGATTATGGCACGCGCAATTGATATTGGGTGGAATCCATCAACTATGAAACATCGTAATTCTTAAACTAGCTCTTAATCTAGACTTAAGTCATAAAGTTTGTAGTTGAAGAAGGTGTTTATTTTTTCAGCGAGGGATAATTTTACAATTCAGCCTAATTTTTATTTATTGAAAAAAATTATGGGTGAAAGAAATCCTTGAGTCCTGACTTTGATTCTCAAAATAGAAGTTTTGCTTATTTCTATTAAAATAAAACAACATGAGTTCTGTGGCTAACAATAGGATTAAATTATAAATTATCTTTTAATTTTGAAAAAAAACATTAATTAATCTCTTATGTTTTTTTAAGTAATAATTTATTTTTTTCTATTGTATGTTTTTATCTAATTTATTTTATTTTTAAAAAATAAAAAATATATAGGTATTATGAAAAATTAACGAAAAAATATTTTTTTAAAAAAAATATTAAATTAAGCACAATTAAGATTAGTTAAAAAAACTGAATAATTAATTTTTAGAATAAAAAAAATTAATTAAATAAATAATATGAAGCAAGTTTTGCACAGTTGATGACTCATCATGGTTAGGGATTAGATTCCTTTATTTTTAAATTCATTCATATACATGCGTATTAGAGATGTTAAGAAAATTATTTAGTAAAAAACAATAATTTCCGACGATCAAGATTATCAAAACAATTCCGACTCTCACTCATAGAATTCATGATTTTATGAGTGGAATACCGTGGAAAGGTTGTCTAGTTGCTGGTTTGTGTGGTTTCATAGTCATGAATGCACTAATTATCAATCTGTTTCTACAAATAAATATAATTATTTTTATAATTTAGGTCATCTTTCAATCTATTTTTCTAGCAAATATTTTCTTAAAAACATAAGAAATCATCGTGTGAGAAATTCAAAAAATAAATAAATTTGAAAAAAAGAAGAAGAAGACAAGTTGTCGTGTGGTGTATTTTTCATAATTATTTTTTAATAAATCATATCAGATTTGAGTTTTTTACTTGAGGTGTTTCCATCATTTTCAATGAAAATATCCACTAGATGATAGATTTCGAAGAATAGCTCTATATTTATAGACAGATTAAATTTATAAAAATAGAATAAATACTAGATCTTGAGCTAATTTCGTTATTTTTATTGTGCTGGATCCAGAGTAAATTTCATTATTTTTTTTAAGATGGATCCAAAATAAATTTCATTTTCATTTTTATTTTTTATAAATAAATTGATTGTACATCAGTTAGGAAATATTGAATCTTCTACATAAGCAGAAGTATCAATCAATCACACACATGTGTAATCAAAAGTTTAGGTCATATTCATAAAGAGACTAATATGATACAAATGTGTCACCTCGCTGAAAAAGCCAATGGTGATATTAAGACTTGAGAGTTCTGATTGAATAAATCCTCTTTCGTAGATAGCATTATTGTTTTGACAATGACTTTTTGTTTTCAAAAGTTGACCCAATTATATCCCCAAGATGGCAAGATACTCCCCAGTCTCGATCAATCTAACTTTTTTAATGGTATCAAAACTTGGACTAAGAGTTTCACTCTGGGCCAAAAAAAGGATCAAATTTGGATTACGAGATAAAATTAATGAAGTATCTCGAAGAAAGTTTCTTTCTTTAAAATTAGTTTACAATTGATGCAACTAGATTTGATCAAAACCTCAGCTTCAGGTTCATCGAGTTTCAACGAAGAAGTTGTCATTAACCACTATATTCATCGCATCGTCCCAAATGTTAAGCGATTATTTGGACAAGATAAATGCCTTACCGGCTTCTTTGACTAACAGAAAAGTTACATGCTTATGAGTGGAGCTTGGCAGGTTGGAGAACATGGGTATGTTTCTGTGATTTTATCTGTGATTCTAAAGGGGCAGTTGCATTGGTTTCTCATGGTGAAGAAATGCAGTTGTCTTGCATAATAACTGTTGGTTTCCTGTGAAAGGATGTGTCTGTGTGTTCAGAAAAATGAAAAACAGACAGGGAAACCATTCAATGGGAAGAACATCCAACCAAGAACTAACTACTGTGTTGCATCAAGAATAAAAAACGAACTAATGACCTAATGCTCAAAAAAAAAAAAAAAAAAAAAAAAAACTATCATGTACCTACATTTTGGGTGAAATTCAATTTCACCCTTAATATGTATAGCTAAAAAATCATTAAAAAAACAAAAACAAAAAGAAGAAGAAGAAAAAGAAAACTATTGTCTTGTTATTAGCTTTATTAAATTCAAGGATTTATTTATTAGAAACTAGAAATCTATTAATAAATAAGAAATTACCTACCTTGTATAGTTATGATCTCAAAAAACTGATTTGATCTTAAAAATAAAGGAAAAAAAAAAACACCAATTTGATCTTCAAGAAGGCAAACAAGAATATAGAGCTAATTGAGAGATCAAAATGCTCCTCTAATAGGGATGGCAATTTGCCCCGCCCTAACAAAGTCCCTCCCTACCTCGCCTTCGATTAACGTGAGGATTTCTTGAGTTGATCGAAGAACGAAGCGAGGCACTCCATCTCATATTTATTTTGAACGAGATAATATGAGATGGAGTAGGAATGATATTTGTCCACCCCGCTCCGTTTGTCTCGCTTCATCTCCGAAATTATAATTACACCCTATATAAAATATGTAACTACCGACTCTTAGGGTTTATTTTCTATATGAACAATTATTTTTCTTGTTATATTTTGAAGTTTAATAATAGAATAAGGCAGAACATGATGAAAACAAAAAATTAAACAAAGTATTAATGTCCTACATGGATCTTCTCGTCTCTGTTTGAGACGGGGATGGTATGAGAAATATTACCTCCTATGGGACACGAGATAAAATTTGTAGGACACCCTTACCCCGTCCCATTACCATTCCTACCTTTCACTCTAAAAAGAACTTAAGCTTAGTTTTTAATAGGACAAACTACCATAAAGCTAACATTAGAATATGAGAGGAGACCAAATACTAATAATAAAAGAACACTTATAGATCCCCCAAACATAACAAGTCATGAACTAATTAATAAATAAAACATTACATTTATTTAATTAATTGAGACAAATTATAGCACATAAACTTAATGGATCACAATTCAACTATGGGCCTTGCCAACTATGTCTTTGAACCATACATTCAATCCTTTTGTTTAATGAAACATAAAATACATAATCAATGTTAACCTATATATTTAGCTGTAAAATTTAACATTCACCTGGTAGGACTTGATATATTTTTTTTTTTTAAATATTCAATTCATAACACAACTCTAGGTTGATATAACTTAAATGGGCATATAAACATACAGTTCAGATAATCAATATTTTAATTTAGGATTTGGTACATTCATATTATTAATATTGAACCATAACAATCATCATATCATTTATGGACATAAGACCCTATATGACCATAAATATTAATAATTTAAAGAGATGCATCTCATGATGCGACAATGTGTATTGTGAAAAGTTAGTATAATGATTTGAAAATAAATATAACATGCTAATTTCACAGTAATCCTCTAGTCTTAATAGACCATAATACACTTAAAAAAGAAAGCACCGTTTTGTATTGAAAATAAATAAATTATGCTTTATATAAGCACCATAATATTAACATCTCGACGCTATAATCCTGATGTCTCAATGCAAAACACCAAACATTATTTAGATGGATATCTATGTATAAAATTCCTTCAGATCACATAAAATATCAAATATCTCAATTGGCATAATTAATTATAATCTTCGTGGGTGATTCAATCAACTCTTCAATCTTCTTATGGTCTCCAGAACCTTTCACCATTGTTAATAGCTCATCCATAGGTGAGAATCGTGGATTTGCTAACAATTGGGTACTTTTGATCTTTTTGTATTTGAAGGGTAACTGCCTTACAGTAGGGCTAGCATCCTATTTAATTTCTTTGTATATCAATGAAATTTTATCATTTATAAATAAATGATAATAATAATCTTGAATGTCAAGAAATTTGAGATACCTAGAAACATCACATGTCTTCAAAAATTAGAAATGTAACGCTTTTCTTAAATGATAGGAATTATATTCTCGAGTTGGAGGTGGAACCCCTTCTATTCCTTCTACCGTATCTCCAGATCGTATGCCACGTTGACAGTTTCAGTTATGTGCCAAATGCAGTCCATTCTCCGCGCTTTGCTGAAGCCACATAGCAGCTTCCATACCGCACGAAGTTTTCCTCGTGAATGGCCTAGCTTAGAATTTAAAATTGAGTCTCGTGCGCTCCTTAAATAGGAAATGTGAAATATATATTTATATAACTTTGATGACCTTATTTTTTCTTTGAAACGGACTGAGTTGTCCGCATCTTTATCAATAATAATATTATTATCATTACACTTTAATCTTTATTTTTCAATGACTTTAATATGACATGCATGTTATGTAATTTTTTGGATAGATTTATTATTTTACTTAGTAGTTACAGGTTTTATTTTTATTTTTATGGATTGATAGTTATGGTTTATAAACTTAAATTTATAGTTGAATTCAATTCAATATATCGATTTTAAATATAATTAATATATTGAGTTTATCTTATATTTGGTTTGCATACAGTTTAAATTTTTTTAATTAAGATGTTTTTTTTCAATTTGATTAAAATTTTATATTTTTAAATTTTTATTAATTCAAATTCTTTATTAACTATTCATATAAAGTAATACGTTAAACTTAATAATAAGAATAAATATGTGACATGACAGATATCAACCCTCGACAGTCTTACATCCGAAATTTGAAAAAAAAAAAAAGGCTAAAAATGTTTTAATTATTAAACTATATTTAATATTTAAAAACAATTGACAAAGACCGTGTTGTCCCCCAAAAGAGCAGGCTTGAAATTAAGTTGATTCATTGATCTGGGGCTGAATTTGAAAATAACCAAGAAATCACATCCAATGCAAAACCCACCACCAAAATATCACCTTCAGTATTCAACAGGCCTGTCACAATGCATTCAACTTCAATGGCTAACCCAATGTTGAATCAACATCAAGATTCTACAATTCTTTTGAGTCCATAAAAGGAAAGGTCAAAAAGCTTCGTTCTTTGTTTGAATCACCAAAACCCCAAAAACCGAACTCCAATGAATTGCAAATTCAAACAACTCATAAGCTACGATCTGTGAAATCGACGGGACCAGAGTATAATAGGTTCCTTTCTTTTGGGTTGATTAACAACGATAAAATTCGATTGTCGGGTACTGAGGACAGGATCGTGGTGTATTTAACAAGTTCCCAAGGAATTCGAAGGTGCGAGTCTGTGGTGGCTGCAGTTTCAGTGGATTAACGAGGTGGCTGGCAGGATCAGCGAGATGTGGGGGCCGTGGAAGAGTTATGGTTGGCAGAGATGGTTGTTTGGATGGGTTTCGGACTGTTTGGTTTGAGGTTTTTTCATGGATTTCGGCTTTGTTTGTAGGAGTGAGGAAGATGGTAGCAACGAGGTGATGGTCGGTGGACTCGGCCGATAGTTAAGGGAAGATGATGGGAGGGGTTGGTGGTTGAAGAAGATGGTATTCGTTTGAAAAAAAAAATTGAGTGAGCCAATTGTAATGGGGTGGGGGATTGCGGTCTTTTTAAATTATTTTTAAATACTAAATATTAGTTTAATAATAAATTTATTTAAATTCGAAAAGTATTTAAAAAGTAAGAATAAAAAACTATTGTGAAGTGTTTTTACTTTAAAATAATATTTAATATAAAAGCTTCTTAACCAAATCTATTACCAAAAATACATTCTACAGCAACTTAACAACATCAGCCATAACAAAAATCACTAAGAAAAGCAGTTATACCAATCGGATCCATGATTTAGTCTTTTTAGCTCTTAGTTAGGTCAACTACTACTCAAGATTTTAATTTTTATGAGCTCTGAACTGACCGTTCTCAATTTAATGGGAGCAATATTTAACATCTATTGTTTTCAGTAAATTAAATGAGAACATGGACGGATGGACCCAACAAGCCACTGAGAAAAAAATAAATAAAGAAAATAAAAACAAGATGTCCTTCACAAATAATTTGAAGCAGCAGCACCACGTACCTTCAGCTTCACATGTTTTGGTTTCATTTAAATTGTTGGTCCAATGTTAAGTAAATTAGTTTTTTTTAATTAATATATCGAGTTTAAATTTTAAAATTATATTTATTAAAAAATTTTAAATTTTATCGTTTCTATTAAAAAATATGATTAATTTTATTTTCAATATAAGATAAAGATACACGGATAAAAAAAAAATATGACACCATCTTGTCTTGTCTCCACCAATAAATAATCACGATTATAAATTAGTCTTTTTTGTTTCAAGAAATAATTAATTAATCTTTCTAGTTTTAAAAATTAAATATTTAATTTTTTTAACTAGTATTGATCGTGATTGATTTAATATTTTTTTTTATAAAATATCTTTTTTCTCATTAATGTTTTCATATTTTTACTTATATTTTATTTTTTTCTATTTCTTAAAGCAATAAATCAAAATAAATTAAAAAATAGCAAACAAGATTAAATAATTAGTTTTTAAAACTAAAGAGACTAATTAATTTGTTTTTCAAAATGAGAGGGACTAATTTATAATTTATTCGTATAATCACAGGCGGCAAGTATTCAGGAAAAAAATGTTTGGGAAAGAATGGAATGTTTGGCTTGATAATTTTTGTTGTTGATGTATACCTCATGCGTCATTGCGAGGTATTTAATTATGTACTTAATTTTATTTTGGAATTATATATACAAAGAGTATGATTCCATAATTAGTTTTTAACGACAGATTTTTTTATTTTCATTTCATTTTTTTATTATTATTTTTGCCGTAGATAAAGAGCTTGTAGTGCACTCAGTTTTTAAGTGTTAGAAAATTAGTGTTAGTAATTAGCAAAACATGAGAGAAAATCATTTTACTATGATAAATTAAATTAGTCACCAATATAAAAAAATCACTATAAAAATGAGAAGGTATTCTGATTTTTTTAATTAGATTTTTTTGTAAGTTCAAATACTTAAAAAAAAAAAATTGAATTCGTGATTTCTTATAATGACAAAAAATTTATTATCACTAGACTAGAAGTTTATTAGTTGGAGCCATAGATTAAGTGTTCGTGTTAATGGTTAATACATTAAGGTGTTATTTATCACATTATATTATATGTTCACTTAATGAATTATAATGATGTTAATTCTCTAAATACCATGTCAATATATGTTTTAAAATGACAATTAAATATGTTTATTTATTGGATGTCATATCAACATCTTTGTTCACATAAACATATTCGATGCAACAATAAAAAGAAAATAAACTATAGTGTAACATATACTGTAGTTTTTTTTTTTTTTTACTCGGAAAAAGTGGAGGCAAACCACACTGACTAAATGCCATTAGTTAAATAAGCCTAATTAACCTCTCTGTTTTTTTTTTTACATAAAATGTTAATTTCTAGCATGCACATATATTTCCATTGAACACTAATTAGTTATACTCTCATCAATAGATCTTTAGTTCATTAATATTGAGCTTCTTGTACTCGCAAAAAAAATTTTTTTTTTGAAGTATTTGAAAAAAATCCTATTATAATATGAGGCTAAAGTAGACCCTTATCTTTATAATAATGATCAATTTAATTCATTGTGGTAATACAATTTTTTTGCGTGCTAACAAATAACACTAATCTCCTAACACCTAATAACCAAATGGACTGCATGAGTTTCTATCTATGAAAAATAAAATAAATTATACTCCTTAACAAAGTCTTATCTTAATTGTAACTTAAAAAAAAAAGAAAAGAAAAGAAAAGAAAAGATGTATACAACTTTGCATATCCTCTTTCACCGGAAACATAATAAAGTGCTTTTATTATGAAAACATAATAGAGTGTTGGTGTTAATGGACATTGTAACACTACGGACACAAACATATTACCGTTACATGATGCACATTTCTCCCGCTTTACACAGCCTTTTGCCTTTTGTAAAATTGCCCCATCATTGTTGCAACTCAAGGCCTTTACTGTCTTTTTCTTTTTTTATCCAATCGAATCAGGTATATAAATCTGCAGACTATAAGTGTCTTTTACCGTGGGTGGACTCTTCGAACTTTGAACCTTGCATGGCAGGGGCCCGCCATTTATGTCAACATTTCCCATTGCAACTCATGACGTCTATTGGTGCTGCCCTAACCTTGAATATTCTTTCCTTTGTTTAACTTTTTCTATTGAATTTTATGTAGATTCGCTAATTTATTGTTGCGCTGGACTTTATAATAACAAGAGGGAAAAAAAAAACTATTAGGCGCTGTTAGAACTTTGATTCAGAGATAAAAAGTAGATTTTATTTATTTAGTTTTTTCTTGAATATGAGATATGATCGCATATTATCTAATTAATATAACGTTAAACAGTATTAACCACTAAAAAAATGATCTCCTGGCTAGCGTTTAGGAGCAACCATATTTATAATATAGTGGATAAAATTAATTTTTAGTCATTGATCTATGTGATTTTATTGATTTATTCTCCATCAACTTATCTTCTTGTCATTTTGACATATTTAAACGAGGAAAATAGAAAATACAGCAAATCATTAATTTGATGTTGACAATATTTCTTTGTATGATATCCAAATGAAAAATATAGTACACTAGTCATCGTAGTTACTATTCTGCAACTTACTAAATAGGTAATTTGAGAATTGCCAAATGAATCGGTTTATAGATTCCAGTTTGATTTGGTTCCCACCTCAATCTAAATTGTACTTGAGAAAAGAAGAAGAAAAAGAAGAAGGTAATTTTCAGGTTAGGTTACTTGGGTCCAATAACTTCCAAAAACCTTTTTCTAAAAAAAGATTAACCACGTATTAAAGAGATGACATGATAATTGCTAAAAAGAAAAAATCTGTAATGATAATTAAGCCTTTATTTGAATCACAACGTTAGAAAAGTCCAACCGTTTTTTATCTATCCATCTAATTACTAACTAGTAAACCCCTGACTCTCTGACTAACGCTAAAATTTGATGGCAAAATATTTGTGGCAAAGAAAAAAAAACAGCAAGCATAAATATTGATACTAATTCATCGATGATTATTATTATTATTTTTTTTATGCGATAATGGGAGTTAATAAGTGTTGATTGGATCACAATATGTACGGAATAATTGATTTGGAGTTGAATGATCCAAAATTGAGAATAAACCTCTCTTCATAGAGATAGTTGATAGGTGGGGCCAGGGGGTGGAATGACCTCATTTTTTGGTGTGATGACGTAATCTTCCAATTTTAAATTGCTGCACAAGCACAACAGTAAAGTGGCAGCGGTGGGCTGCACTGCTCTTTCCATTTAGAATGGTTCTCTCGTGGGACCTTATTTCTTTTAAAGGAATCAAAATAAGAAGGGACAGAAATTAAGGGGCAATCATATTAAATGTTAAAGAACACCTGAGATTTCAGAAATGACCAAAATCCAAGTGCTCTCATCACCTTCAAACAATTGCATGTTCTTCAGATCATGGGTAGATTCTGTATTTTTCTTTTTCAAGTCATGGTTAAACCTCATTAAATTTGCAAACCCAGCCTTTACCAATTTTTCTTCTTTTGGTACTGGCCTACTTTTCCTATTGCCTAAGTTCATTTCCTCTACCGATAACTAGACTGAAAATAGTAATAATTTTATATAATAGGTATTGTATTTTGGAGTACTCGCTTCACTCTTCAGAAAAAACGAGAAGGAAATAAAACGAGGTGGGGTAACTCGTGTAGAAGAGGAGAGCTTGCAAAGTCACACTTGTTCAGCACAGACAGGATATCTGTACAACGTACATACATCGCTATTCTAGAACGTAGGGCCCAAGTCTATCTTATATTGGGGACCACAAGCCAAGGGGGCCAACTTGGTAGCAAATCATATCTTTCGTTTACGATTTTTATTTCTTCAGTGAACCTTTCCTGTACTATTTTGGGTTTTGCGTGTGAAAAAATCATGCATCTTACGTATGCAATACACAATGCAAACCTTATATTATACACACTGCCTAATTATTAACTTACTACAAAGATAATTACAGCGTACTCTCTCGTTCTCTTCAGAGAAAAAAAAACAAGCAAACAAAAAAGAAGAGGACGATGGATTGCATTATTAAAGAAAAAGCAATCACAACCAACGGCAACGTGTTAGATAGAGACCACAAAGTGACGAACCCCTTTCCAACAACCAACTTTGTCAAAGTTGATGTAGTAGTAGTATTTTACGATTTTGCAAAGGCCAAAAAGCAAAGGATTTTATGCAATATGGAGACGACACGAATAAGTGGGCAACTTTGGTCCACATCTACCACCAACCCCACATGTATAAAAAACACAAACCACTGCAAAATACAAAAATTGGAGGTCGTACGTTTTCAAGTTTGAATCTTTCCTTCGGTAAGGGTTCCCCATGCATCCACCTCACAATCTCTCTCTATCACCAAATATGACAAACCAACATCCATCCATCAAAACAATGAAACAAACCTCACCATTCTCTTTTACTTGCACTATTAAATTGACTCAAGAAACTAAAATATGCCATTATCGCGCAAGTAATCAAAGGATGGGGACAGATTAAATAAAAAAATTGAGAGGGTTTACTTTTATATGTGCCAGACATATACATATACACCCTCCACTGCATATATATATATATATATTATATATTGTTTTGTAGGATACTAACTACTGCTCTTTCAGGAAAATAAAATTAGAACCCCCGCTAAAAAGAAAAAAATCTAACAAAGTGAAAAGAAAATAACTGACCCAAAAGATGGAAAGGTAGTTCTTTTTCTCCCCCTTTCCCTCATCTTCACCATCTTTCCTCCTCTTTTTTCTCTACAAAAACACTGGAATCAAACTTTTCCCAAGCTTTTCATTCCCAGCCTCTCGCCATCAAACCAATCAGATTTAATTAGACCTGACCATCAACCCTGTCAGACTATAGACACAAGTGTACAGAGGTAATATAGATGGCGAGAAAGAACAATCAAACATAAAAAAAATTACTTCCCCCGCTAGTTCGTTCAACTTCCTTTTGCCAAAATTGTCGGTTCGGATCCTTGCGTGCTTCCTTGGACATTTTTCACCCCTTTATTCTTCTCATGCTGCAGAAGGTATTCAAAATGTCATTCCCTTGGCTTGTTCACCGCTTTCCCTTCGTAAATTTAAAATCCCCAGTCAAAACAATCTAGTAGTCTCTTTCAATCTTCTCCTAAGCGGAGGTTCCCATTTAAAGCACCAGGCACATGATTCTATTCGCCAGCAGGTTGTTTCTGCTCTGCCGGTTTCACCGGAACTGCAGTGGGAACAGGATGAACATAAGGGAAGGCAGCAGGTAAAATCTGATGCGGCTTTCCAGAGTGCTGTGCAGCAGCAAATTGGGCATGGATAAGACCCTGCGAATGTAAGCCACCACCTTTCATATTGTTAGCAGTGGCAGCGGCAGCAACTGCCTTGGCAGGATCAGTAGTGCTGGTGTTGGCAAGTGTGACTGGAGGACATAACGACAACATCCCTGTAGAAGAGGCTGCTGATATGCCTTGTGGTTGCTGCTGCTGGTCACTGCGATGTCTTTGGAGATAAAACCCACTAGCCACTGGTGCAGTATTCGTTGAACTTGCCGCATGTTGAGCTTGGACTTGCATATAAGGATTAGTGTATATTAGCTGAGCCTGCTGCAATGCATGCTTTGATAGCGGCTGTTGATGTAACAGTTGAGGCTTTGTACCAGAGTTAGATGAAGAGGCATTGTGAGGATGACCAAGGATTGATGGAATATTTCTTCCACCAACTGGAGACGATTTTTGCACAGGCACTGATGCAGAGTTCTTGGATTGTTGAGATGATAACGTTGAAGATTGACCACATTTGTTACTAGTGGAAGTGGATGTCCTTGGACTTCCACCTGCACTTTTAGAAATTGATGTTGTGGGAGAACCAACCATCATCGGAGGAGAAGGAGATTGGTTACTACCGTGATTTGGTTGCCCTTGGGGTGAAGCAGATGGTTTCTGGTTAGCCGCAAAGGATATCTGTGTGTGACCTTGTTGTATTCGGCCTTGCTGTTGGGGAAGGTTTTTGAGAGTCGATGAAGCTGAGGTTAGAGACGGAGAAGGAACTTGGGAGGTGGTGGCTCTCACAGAACTTTTCCACTGAGGTGATTGAACTGGGCTACTGCTGCTTTGAACAAGATTTTGAGGAAATGAAGAAAGTGCATTAGGAAACTTGGTTGCCATAGCTGATGTTGATGAAATGTGATCGGGATAAACACTTCCATTGCTAGTTGCTGGTGTTTTACTACGAGCTGCAGCTGCAAACTGCTGCTGCTTCTGAAGCTGAAGGATTTGCTGCTGCTGCTGCTGCTGATTCCGTTGCATCTGCTGCTGCATACTTGGTGCATTAACAGTACTGATATTAGCTGACACGACAGAGCCAGAGTTCCGAGCAGTAGTAATGGTTCGGGCCGAGCTATCAATGACTGGCATTGTTGGGGGGCATCTGTTAAATCTGGCCGAGAGAACACAATTGCCTGCCCAGCAGTTAATGGAGTCTTGCCTCCTGCCATGGCCTTCCTCTCTTCTTCCACATTTGAAGTATCGTTTCCTCCAGTTTTCCCATCTTCAGAAACACGGTAATTCTTCTTCTGCTGTGCTGCTTGGGCAGCAGCAATGAAGTGATAGTTATGCCTTGCTGCCTCTGGGAGGCTTTGGAGAAAATGATGATTCTGTGCAATTGATGAAATATCAAGACCTGAGGAAGCAGTGGTTCCGTTGATGGATGTAAATGACATAGCATAAGCCTGAGATGCCAAAGATTCAACCACAGCCTTAGAGGCCTGTGTTTGTGGCTGCTGAGGTTTCTTTTCACCGGTATTGCCACTTGGACTATGGCCACCTCCCACTGGCGTGGGATTCATCAAAGCAAAATTTCCTGGATGTATTGGCATTAAATTCTGGCTATAAAGACTCATATTTGCTCGGGAGACTCGACTGTCGGCAGTTGAAGGGCTGTCTTCACGACCTAATTCACTCTCAAGTTGACGAGCTTGGTGTGAAACATTCTGATTTTGCACCTGCTGCCGCTGCTGGTTCGGCAGGGATTGAGGCAGCTGGGTTTTAGGGCCAGGAAAACCTCGCAAATTTCCACTACCTCCACTGCCATGTGGTCTCTGCTGCTGATTCTGCAAATGCTTCTGAGATGATGAGGAACCACTAGAAATGCTCGGATTTTGATGACCCTGTTGGCTTTGTTGTGTCTGTGTGGACGGGTGTTGCTGTTGCTGAAGCTGTGAAGAATGGAGCATTTGAGAAGAATAAAACGATCCATTAAACAAAGGCATAGCCTGAGGATGAGTTCCTCTATAAGCTGTAGCGGCCCCAACATGTGCAGGAATGGGAATCGGATATGCAGCATTCTGCAAAAATGCCAAGTATTGGGTTTCATTCCCAGGGATGTTCAGGTAGTTAAAGCTCATTGGTGTAGGACCAGCAACAGCTGACGTTGTGGCACTCATTGAAGCAGAACTCGAGGTACTTGAGGAAGCTACACCGCTTCCAGCAGGAGGAGACTTCACACTTCCAGGTCGGACAGAAGCAGCAGCTGCTGCAGCTGCTTGTTGTTGATTCATTGGAAAGATGAAAGTGGGCCCATGCTGATATTTAACAGAAGGAAAAGTAACACTCAAAAAACAAAAACCCATAGACAAATTGCAGAGTAAAGAATATTACAACTTAAGAGAGGACCATACCAAGATATTACTAGCAGCACCTGGGGGCAGGGCTTGCTGAAGCAAAATCTGCTTTCTCTGTGCAGCGTCTGCAATGTTAGCAGCATGAGAATTCTTCTCCTTCCCACTGGAACCTGGAACGACTGCAAGGCCCTGCCCCTTTTCTTGCACAGGATTCACACCTCTACCTGCATGCAAGTCAGTAGTAGAGGGCACCACATTCACATTGCACGCTTTAGTCCCATATTGTAAAGCAGAACTGGCTGGTGGTGGCCAGAAACGATTCATCCTAAATTGCTGGTCACAATGAATAGTCCTTGCAATGTAGGAATGTGTTGCACACCGTTTCGGCCGTGGTTGGCTAAAAATCAAATGGGGAGGCTGCAACAAGTTCAGAAACACTCATCAGAAACAAGGGGGGATTACATCCTTTTACAGATACTCACACAAAAGTCTGGAGATCAAAGAATAAAACCATAACATACCTGCATGGCTGCAGGAGAGACGGTGCTTCCATCCATGGATACAACTCCTTGTAGAGGTGCCATGTATCTGCCGATAACCAAAATGTCATTTCCCCAAAGAAGAGAATCTAAGCATTGTACGGCCAAAGAATGAAAGAATCAAACAACACACAACAGACAATACCCCATGTGCGGAAGCCCACCGGGCCAGCCAGTCATAGACATTGGCAAAGGTAAAGAACTAGATTGAGCTGAGGAAGAGAGGAAAAAAGAAAAAGAAAAAATTGAATCAGCAACCCAAATGGCAAGATTTAAAGAGAACAAAAGTCCTCAAATCTAAAAGAAGGAGGAAGAAATGAAATACGCTAAAAAATTTTTACCGATCTTCTCTGGGTTGGGTTGCTGCTGGACATGCTGAAGCAGCTTGTTTCTACTTACAGTAACCGCAGCCCTATCCCTATCAGCCTTCTCTAAATCCACCTGGAGATCAATGTTCCTCTCTTTAGGCTTCCGGGATTCAACTTCTTCACCTGTAACTTTTTTCTTTTTATCTACAGGTTCCACATTCATTTCTTCCTTCCCGACTTTCAATGCTTTATCATCTTCTTTGACCATCATAGGCTTCTTTTCCTGCCATATGAAACAAGCAAATACAAAAACCAACATCATTAATTTTTCACACACCATCATACCAAACAGGTAAGTAATATAAAGCAGACAGAACATAGTGGTCCCACTCACCGTCTCCCCATCTGTAACCATAGATTTAGGATCTCTGGCCACAAAATCAATCTCACTGTCCCTTTCTGGAGATGACCTTGATGGAGGAGGAGCCTGTAACTCAAAATTAAAATATTATAAATTAAAAAAAGAAATTACAATCCCCGAGTTGAATTTTCTAAAAAAGGCAAATATTCATGTTGTAAAATTGTGAGAGAATCTTCACCATCAGATCTATCTGGAACTTCTCTTCTCGCTGGCTATCAACCCCGGAGACCATCGTATTCCTGGATAACAGGAGGAAAAACCCAAGACAATCGAGATCAGAACCCCACGTTTAAAACAACGAAGATCAAGAAAAGAAAAGTGTCCATTTATTTGATCCTCACGCATTATTTGCTGCCAAACTCTCGCAATCACCATCCAATCTAAGGCCAGGAGGAGATTCCTTCTTGGGAGACCGAGGTTCTTCTTTCAGTCCACTCAAATCTCTACATTCTGATTCTTCATTCGTAGGCTTAGAATCCGATAATGGATAATTCTCCGGCTTAACCTCCTCCAACTGCGCCTCTGTTGTCGCCGGAGTAGCTTGATTGGCCAGTAAATCACACGAAACTCCACCATTTTCAGCTGCAGATCCCAAATTCTTTTCTAAATTAGAAGAGGAATCAATTTTTGCAGACTGATCAATGTCAACCTTGGTTGTCGACAAAATGGAACTATTACGAGCAGGAAAAGTTGCGGGATGCTCGTCGTCATACTTGACTGGTCGCGGTCTTTTCCTTTTAGGTGCTGCAGATTTTAAACAAAAAATCCAAAAAATAACCATCAACATAAAAACTAAAGTAGAAGATGATGAATATTCGCACTGATCGCAATTTTTCCATTCATTTCCCTTAAGAGTCACCAGAGCATTGAGAGAGGAAGAAGTCAAGAACCAAGTAAATGAAACCACCGCTGCACAAGAAAACTCACCAATTGCCGACATGGGAGTAGCAGAACTAGAATTAGATTGTGGAACTGAAGATGACTGAGGAGCAGTGGACTGCGAGTTGGAGATCGGTGACGAAACTCTGGATTTAGCATCACTAGTAGACTTGTTGTGATTCCCTTCTCTGGAATCATACTTGGTCGATTCATTTCCCACAATTTCTTGCTTTGTAGGTCCTTGTGGTTGCCTCAGCAACCCATACAACACCTCAGCGATCTCAAACTCAATCTCATCTTGTGCTGAAGAGGTAGATTTCGAAGAAGATTTAGGTGGTCTCTGTTTCGGTCCATTAGGCTTCTACAACAGCAATAACAATCGTCAGTTTATTGACCCAAAATATATTAAAATAAAAAACAAAAATACTGTAGAAATGGAGCAACGCACCATCTTCTTTTTTACTGAAGCATTAGAAGATGATGGAGGCGAGACAGGAGCAGCCGGAGAAACTGAAACTGACGCTAACAAAGCTGGTCCACTCGATCTTACAGGAGATGTTGAAGCTTGCCGGTGAATTTGCTCACCACCAACTCCACCACTTGGAGCCCAACATTCATGCGACCGCTTAGTAGATGCTGCAGAAGAAAACCAAACAAAAACACATCAGCAATCCAGTAAACCAAAATCCATCAAAATCTGAAAATTTTGCCTTGTAAATTAAATCTCTTCCACCTCTATACCTGACCGAGCTTTTCTAGGCACAGACAAGCCAATCATCTCATCAGGAGCCTTCCACGGTGTGACTGCTGCCGTGGTATTCATCGTCGTCGCCGCCGCTCTAAAAACTTTGGCCGGCGGCGGAAAGCTTTTCCGATGGTGATGATTAGACATAGAAGAAGAAGATAAAGAAGAAGGGTTCGGTGGAAGCATCCTCATGAAACTCCCTGCAACACCAACCGCATCATCGTCATCTTCATCTTCGTCGTCATTAACGCTCTCTTCGTCTGAGCTCTCGTCTCGCTCTCCGTCTTCTCTATTGCTCCCGTGCATCATTCTCTCGCCTCTCCTCCTCTTACTCCTGCCGCTAATCCGATCTCTCTCTCGGTCTTTTTCACGGTCTCGGTCCCTGTCTCTGTCCCGATCTCGATCTTTTTTCCGATCTCGTAGCCTCGTTTCTTGTAGCTCCACCGTTCCATTATCTTCTGCAAGAAACAAGGTCCAAAAACACATCAGAATTAAAAGAAACGTTGGCATATGTTAGGGGACAAAGAGAGTTAGATCTGATGAGAAATTAAACCTGGAGAATCTCTTAGGCTGCTACTTCTGTGTCTTCTTCTAGACAAGCCATTACTAGCCGCCATACTCACTCTTCTTGCTTCTCTGTTTCTATCCATCTCTTTGTTTGCCTTTCTAATAACAAATCACTTGTAATCACAAAGTTTATCTTATCTCTCATATCACCAGAAACCACGCATAGTTGAGTCTGGCTCGCTGGATTTTTTTTTCAAATACAGAGAGATGTGTTTTTATTTCATAGAACAAATAATTATTTTTTTGGTAATCAAGGATCTTCGACCAAGGAGAATTTTCAGTGTAGAAAGATCTTAGCTTTCACTTATCTTCTTCTCTACTAGGCCAGCGCCCCTTCTCTATCTCTCTCTCTCTCTCTCTGAAAGCTCTCCTCCTCTCTCTTTTTGTGTTCTCGTCTTCTCATCCTCTTTTTTAGCTGTATTTCATCTCATATCACTCTCAGAGAAACTCACTCCAAAGCCTAGTTGACGGCCACGATTTTTAGGCGTATGTACAAGGTTAGATCTAAACCATTGATTACATGACACCTCCTACGGCTCTGATTGGCTGTTACCAACATGGCAAAATCTCAACCCTTAAATGCTCTAACTCTCTGCGCCCACTTAACTTTTTAATTGCATAGTACTTCCACGTGTCGGCCTTGTTTCTTTCTTCATGCTCAAGCTTCCATGTTCACTCACTACCTCGATTTTTCTATTATTTTATTGCCATTACAACAACAAAATATTATTATAAAAATTGATTTAGTAATAGCTAAATTAATTAATTAATTCAATGTTGAAGAGTGAGAAAATACTGTTGCCCACGAATCACGATCAAAATTGAGAGGCCCCACCGCCCTTGAATTTCCCAAAGAGATGTCGTGACGGGCTACTGGTTATAACCGGTTATACTGACCTTGGTAAAGGCAACATGACGATCACAAGGAATCTAAGCGACCGCAGAAAATATCATTCTAACCGGTCAAATTCATTATATTTCGGTTCCACGTTTTCTTTAAATCCATTTTTCTATAAATTATTATGGTATGAGAGTAACTCACACAGTATATTTCCATTAAAAAAACATGTGGGCCCCATCTGAAAGCAATCAAATTTGGAAATTTAACGCCTAGGATTGTCATTAGCCAGGGAAACAAGCTCGATCAACCGTTGAATCTAAATCTGACGTGGACATAGCATCATTTAAAACAAAATCCCAAACTCCAGATACCAACGAACAAGCAAGTCCGAGCTGGCAGCACCGAACCAAAAAAAGTCTCAGTTTTCTAATGTTGATTAGTGCGCCAGATCTTGACAGTTGATTGTCTCGATCGGACGGCGGATATCTGTTGAGCAGCGGGGGAGGAAACTCGAGTCACGGTCACGGAACTTACAAGAGAGAAGTGTGGGACACACAAACAAACACAATTAGCTGCAGATCTAGAAAGAAGAAAAGGAGGAAATTACTTCCTCGCATAGGTGTTGGCCTTATTGTCACGTTCGAGAGATGGTTGCAGCTCGTTCGGTGACGTGTACTGGGGCCCACTATTAGAACCAGAACCAGAATCTACTCGCTTGGTCAAATTTCACCGCGCAGTTAAAAAGGTATTAAAAAAGCAGGATAAAAAAAAAAAAAGAAAGGAACAAAACAACTCCCTCTGATTTCCCGCTTTCTACTCCACGCGCTTATACCGGAGAGAGTTCGTTCACATTTTGAGTGCGCTGAATTAAAAAGGTAACAATCCAGCGTGGCAAAGTTATTTTCGTTACGTGTCAATGTTTGGGTCTGCCACGTGTAGTCCCCTCTCACTCTCTTTACCTATTTGTCGCCTTGGATCTTGTTATTATTATCCCCATCTCAACTCTCACCACCTTTCCACTAAATAAATATCTTTTCTTAAAATGGGGATAGATAGCGTGACGAGAAGGTTAGATATTATTGATGTAGGTCGATAAGATATTCATGAATCCCTTCGTTCACATTTATGCTCTAAAAAGTTTTTTCTAACAGTATTCTGTCAATTACCAAAAGCCATGTAAAATAATAATAATAATAATAATTTTGGAGAGACCCGTGGTGGCCACGTCAGAATTAGGGCCCATAATTAATGGTTGACCCACCAAAATTGATCCCTTTCTCTTCCTTTGTCGCTTTATGTGCATGAATGAAAAGTTTGAGAGAGAATGAAGGAAGCGGGTTTTCTTCTCTCCTCCCCTCGCTATCGCTAAATCCCGAGGAGTTGCCATGTGTACAATTAGCTTGCTACGTCACCACGTTCTCCGTGGATGTCTTAGCGACCGTATGTAGAACCCTAGCCGTCAATATAAACTCCAACCCATTCTTGTTCTCGTTAACTACTAGAAGACGACTAGACTTGTTAGTTTGATCGGATGTTTAAATTCGACGTACACTATTATTTACAATTGGTATTTGCGCATCATTAAGGCATCTTATGATAAGAGCGTTAATATAAGGGCCCCACAATTGGGTATGTTGGGCATGGGTCGTTAATGTGTATATTATTGGTTCTCTGAAACCCTTGAAAGTTTTTTGGGGTTAATCATATAATTCGTCTTCCTATGCTTGATTTCATTTTTTCAACGTCTTTTTTTAAATAAAAAAAGAATACGTAACAATATATGCGTAGTTTCGCACGAGAGAAACCGAAGAAATTGTTGCAGTCGTCAAGTCATTTATTCATATAATTCAATATTACTGTATATTTAAAAGAAATGAAAGCTTAAACAATAAGTTTTATTATTCATCTCCTCATAAATCACTATTCATCTAATTTTTTTATAATTTTTAAATTATTTCATTTTAGTTCTTAGAATTTTAAAATAAAAATTTAACCTCCTAGCTGATGCACTTCATTTTTTTTAAATTAATTTATGTTCTTTTTTTAATTTAATCGAGTGTTAAAATTTTAAAAAATCAATAATTATTTTTTAATATAAACTGACGATTATATAATATATAAATATGTTTTTAGATTTTTGAATAAATATATACTATTCTTATTATTTAAAATCGATCTTTTCAATTCATTATAAAAATCCACATCAAGTTAATTTATATTCTTTTTTTAAATTAAAAATTAACTATACATCTTTCTACATAATTATTTTTTTCCATACAAGCCGACGATTAGATAATATATACGATATGTTTTTAGATTTTACGAATAAATATGTACTATTCTTAACGTTTAAAATTGACCTTTCCAATTTATTATAAAAATTCATATTAATTTAATTTTTATTTTTATTTTTATATTAAAAATTAATTATACATCTTTCGACATAATACAAATTATTTACTATGAATATTTTTTAACATTATAGAACCAATTTATTTGAAATAAAATAATTCAAATAATTTTTTAAAGGAACCAACCAATTATTCAAATATAATTTTTTATGTTAATTTTATTGATTATGTTGTAAATATATATATCATGTCGCTACACGACGTCGGACGGGACCCCCTCAAAAAGAAAAAATTATTGAGTAGTTCGGGTGTTGATTAATCAAAATTATTTACGAGTTTTGGAGTCGCCACCTAGTACTTAAGGGACTAGGGACCTAAAAGCGACGACTTGGTTCGGAGATTCTTAAGGTAAGGAGTTGGTTACGCTTTTGGGAAGATATCAAATCACCTAAAAGCGCCCTTTTCGAAAAAAGGTACCATGTACGGTTTAGTTCGAATTATCCCCTAAAATCCATGTCAAGCTATTTTCCGAATTTTAATCTCCTATCTTTTAGCCTAAATAATTTTTTTAGTTTTGGGCGTGGCATCATATTGAAACGATCGTCGGTCCCCTTCGTTAGGTGACACGTCGATTCAAACATCGGATCCACTAAAAGCCTCGACACAACCGGCGTGTCGGAGGACGTCTTAATTGAAAGTGATTTTGATGACGTCGCCCCTATCAAATAGGAGGCTTCGTCGAAATTTTTAGGCATTTTTTTTGTATGGCGTCGGTCCCTATAAAATAGGAGACTTCGCCATTTTTTTTTTAAATGTATATTAAAGAAAAGAAAACAACAAAAAATTGAAATAGCAATTCTAAACTAAAAAAAATAAACGATGAGGAATAAAAATGAACAAGGCTAAAAAAATCATTAAAAAAAGGAAAAAAAATCATCCCATATAAACAAATTAAAAAATAAATGAACAATAAAAGTAATAATAAAAAAAAATCCTATACCTAAAATATTAACCCGCCAATGTTTTTTTTTTTTTTTTACACCCATCCCTATTTTTTCTTTTTTTCTTCTTATTTTTTTTCCTAACTCTATTTTTATTTTTTTCATTTTCCCCCCATTTTTTTTTTTTTTTGAAGAAAGGGTGCGAGTTGGATTTCTTTTTTTTTTTTTTTTTGGGTAAAGGGTGCGAGTTGGATCGAAATCAGCCTGACCCCTTTTCTTTCTTTTTTTTTTTTGGGCATCGGGTCAGGTCGGATCGAAATCGATCCGGCCTAGCGCGTTTTCTTTTCCTTCTCCTTCGCTTGGCTTAAGCCCGAAACGAGCCCACGTCACCCTTTTTTTGCTTTTCGAGATCAAACCAAGAGTCTGCTCGGTTTTAACTTTCTCTCTCCTGTTCTTCGTGTTCTTCATTTTCTCTCTCTAGTTCTTCAAGTTTTTTTCGAAAATTAAAAAAAACTCCTTTTTCAAATAACACATTCAATCACACACACCACAATTCAAGACAAGAAACAAATAGCAAGTGAACATCTAACCTTAAAACGAACAACGAAGTAAAACAAAAGAAAAAGGGAATCGAATTCGGGGACTCACTTGGAAAATTTCCCAAGAACGACAAGATGAACCCAACAAAATTCAATGAGAAAACCCGAAGCTGCAAGCACCACAAATGCTTGTTTCTCACGTATCGATTGAAACCTTGCTCTCGATTTCTTTTCCTCTACCTTAACGAACCAAAAGCTCCCTCGAATCAACACCAACGACGTCTCCAACTTGTTCTAGGTTGAAGAACACAAACCCGAACAAGAACTTCAAACCAGAACCCGAAACCCAAAGAACTCGATCGCCAAAAAATCAAAATTATATCTTTTGCTTCCGATTTTGAACTCTCTCTC